TCAAACGGCAAGGTTATTACTTATTATTATAGCTTATAAATTAAAACGTTACTGCGACGTGACTACGTGAGCCCTTCTCCAGTTTCATGCAAGTTGTATACAAAATAAAATTAATGTAAAATATACATTTAGGTACCTAAATATAATTATAAAATTGTGAAAAAGTAAAAAGTAAAAATTAACTAAACAATTGCGCCCCAAAAAATATTGTACGTGCCTTATTGGTGGCCTATGGGTAAATCCGCCCCTGATAATATCAATATATCATGGTTGATAGAATTGGCTGGCACGAATTAAGATATCCTTTATCTCTTTTTATGTGTATATGGACATTGCTATATTCTGTATAGTATGTTCACAGTCTCACTGCAAACCACAGAACAGAATTCTAGCTAAATAGTAAAATACTAAAAATTAAAATGCCGTCTGGAATTCTTGCTTTTGGCGTCATGATTTAGTGATAGGGCCATGTTACATCCTTCAACCATTCTATTCATACCGTGACGGAAACTAAATTTTAAATAGAAAAGTCACTTTGCAGAATAGTAGGTGCAGTTGAGTGTACCTTGGCAAGTTTTTACCACTCTGCTGTAGGTACATTATTATATATTATATTAAATATTAATACTGTTCTGTGATAATAACAATGTTGTATACTTATTATATTTGCATATAATTTATCCAACATTTTAACTAAAATTGCTTACAAAAAAATCATGCTTTTGTATCTTTAATATAATAATATATTTTTGTACTGTACATTTAAAATTTAAATAAAACAAAATCGTGCCTATGTATCCTTAATATTTTTAATCTACTATTTTAACAACATACGAGGAACCTTGTATTAAACTTTCAAGATTTTTGACCCATCTGAAAAATTTCAAATGTCTATAAGTAGCCCAAAAAGAGTCAACATATTTTTAAAATTGTACTTATATGGTGTATAGAAAATATGTATAGAGGTGGTTTGACATTTTTCAGTTGGTAGTTCAAGAATAGTTAATACCACCCACCATAGACATAATAAGATATGAGAGAGAGAAGTCAATAGTCTACATCAATAGAAAGAGACAAGACATAACTTAGGTATCAGAATATATTATATAATTTCATGGAGTTAAGAACACATTTATCGATTTATCAATTTGAAATGGTTTTATCACGGACATTTTGGCGGGGCGCCAAACTTTACGCTTCATCGCTTTAATTTATTAAATACCTAATACGTTATTACTTCGATGGAAGATTTTTAAACAACGATAACGATTTTTATTTTATTATTTTATTAAGTCCAAGTTGAAAGAAATGGTCTTCAAGTGTTCAATAAAAACTTGCAAATAAAGCACACAAAACACGGACAACATAAAAATGCATGGGTAAGTATTTATTTAAAAATTATTAAGTAGGTATTTATCAAATACTTATCTACAGTACTTGATATTCTGAATTGAGAATCCACATAAAAATTATGAACAATTTAAGTTATTCAAACTGTTTTTTATAGTATACCTATAGATCATTATGCATGATGGAGAAATAGGTGAAAGCTATTGTCGTGATGAAAAATATTTTTATATTAAAAAATGTAAAATTCATTAGGTTTGCGTATCTTTGACAACAATTTAGATTCACTCCAAATTTAAAAAAAAATTATTTTGGGCATAGTTTGTACCCGCCCAAGTAAAAAAAAGGTGGGCGAGTGGGTGTCGCTCTGCTGTACAGTAGGTTACAAGTGGGTCACTGTATAATGGATGATATTAAATTTGAATTAATAATAATATCATTGTATAAGAAAAACGATTCTGAGCGGAGACGGTATGTCAGTCTATAGGTATACGACATATTATATACATATCTATGGTACTAAACCAAAATTTGACCCATAATAGGTACCTATAATAAATTCCAAATTAATCATATCACAATATCCATTAGGTACTTATAACGCGTTATACATCAACAACAAACCGTGATACTATCATAGATATTATATAATAGTGTACTTTAGAAGTTTCAAGTACCCACGAATAATATTATACAATCACAACAAAATAACTAAAATAGTTGTTCTAGGTTTTTTATTATGTAATTTCGTCCAAATTTGAACTTAAAATGACTATAAAAATAAAATGTGCTACTGTATTTTTTAGATTTTTTGGTAACAGTATGAACTATTTATGAGAACCTTTGTTTTGAATTTGCAATCTTTAGCTATAAAAAATGAACATTTTATAATTTATTAATTACAATGATTGATAATTTTCGAGATTTTGATAAATTTTGTCAAAATTTGATCTTTAAATGCTTATAAAAAAAAACTGTGACTAGGTATGTATTTTTAATATTTTTCAACTGATATTGTAATAATATATCAGGACCCTTGAATTACATTTTTACACTTTTTGGCCCAACAGAAAAAACTTTATTGATATTTATAGAAAAAAAAACTAAAAAAATTGAAAACTTAAAATGTCCGTAAACAGCCCAAAAAGATTCAAAATATTTTCAAAACTGTATTGGGTATAGTAAATGCTAATATAAACATTCAGTGAAATTTCCATGTATCTACAGTTATTCGTTTTTGAATTACAACAAAATAAGGTAATCGCTACATGAGAAATCGAGTGAATATCCAATGTTGTAAAAATTTGAATTTCAAACGCTCATAAAAATTTAATTTGACTTTCTTATAGACATTTTTTTTGTTGATAAAGGTAGATAATCTTATAAGGAATTTTGTATTACATTTTAAAATCTTAGATTTAAAAAAAAAAATTTTTACGAATTCTTAACTCAAAATAATTTGCTAATTTTCGTGATTTTTCCATATTTTGTCAATTTTTGAACTTTAAATGCTTATAAAAAAAACTGTGACTAAGGATTTTTAATATTTTTCATCTGCCTTTGAAACAATATAGTAGGAGCCTTGTATTAAATTTTCAAGTTTTTTTAACCAACAAATAAAATTTTATTAAAATTTTTAGAAAAAAAAACTAAAAAAAAATTAAAAATGAAAATGTTCCTAAACAGTTCAAAATAAATCGAAATATTTTGAAAATGTTATCGTGTATAGAAAATGCAAATATAAACAACCAGTGAAAATTTCATGTATCTACGGTCATTTGTTTTAAAGTTACACCAAAAACCAAATTCAATTTTCTGAAAAATCGATTTTGCGTAAAAATTCCCGTTTTTCCTTCATTTTTCTTTTGTTTTTCTTGGCGCTTTTGAAAAATACTGGGAATTTTAAATTTTGACCTCCCCAATGCACCAACGATATTCACTTTCCAATCGAACAAGATACTGAAGTCGGAAATCGAAGCATTATTTCGACTATTTATCGTGTACACAGACACAAAAAAAAAATATAAAAACACACATCATTGTAAAATCAATACATTCATCGTTTCACTCAGAATCTAAAAAAAAAAATGGGGTACCTACGTAAAGAAAAAATAAAATAGTAGAGGAGCTCAGTCCCCTTGCTTACAAGCTAATGAAATTGTACCTGAAGAAATATTAAACTTATTTGCTAGTATCAATGGAAAGCTATGTTTGACACTTTGAATTATAATATAATAATTAATAAAGAAAAAAAGAAAATGTGATAAATGTATTTTCTATTAATAGTATAACTGTGAACAGTAGTATAATTTAAAATGGAAATGTTGGTGGGTGGGGAGGGGTGGAGCCCCCCCACGGATTTGTGAGCGATTCATTATGGTAGCACCCTCAAGATTTGAACCCTAGTTGCGCCACTGCTTCATAAGTTGATTGTATATTTGTATCTATTTGTTGCTAATAATGAATTGGCCAACAAACTAACCATTTTTATATTACTTTCACCGGACACTGATTAGTGATTACCAAGAGTCATGACCAAGTACCTAACTGTTAAAAAGACACCACCCCGTGGTTCAGAGTTATATACCGAGAGCGGAAGTCGAACCCGACGATTTTGACATGAACTTGTGAGCGTGGCTAAAGATTTTTGGAATGTTCTTATCGCTTTTAAATAGGTACCCGGAATTTACTATTTAGTAATCATGGAGCATTGGTCGAGTGGAAGGAGTGCGTTCGCGGTAAAAGCGTATTACAAAAGATTTGAAGTATAAAACATTAAATTCCACTTGTATAATTTTTATCTATTTGGCGAAAAATAATAAAAAATTTTTTTTTGATTTTTTTTTTTAATTTTTTCAAATTGTCGGACTTGATTGCCGCACCCTGTATTATACACTAAAAACCACTAAAAACCTAAGTAAATCTGTTCTATTTCTATCTGTTCTATTTGAAAATCTATTCTGTGGTATACACTAAAGGTATAAGCTATAAGCATTGTTCTGTGGTATAAGTGTATAACCATGTATGAGTAATAATGAGTATACCGTAAATCGGTATATTATTTTTTTTTTTTATTGTACTTTGTGATGACACTGATTGCACTTTGTCAAAAACAAAAATAATTACCGGGCCAATGGCAAATGTGATTTCTTATCAGTGCCTACTGTTCCGTCCCGTCATACTTCAAACCTGTACTCCAACTCCATGTTTCCATCCATTATCCAACAATCAGATCTATCCAAGGTGCATCATAGAGTAATACTAGTAATTACTCTATGAGGTGTATTGAATATTGATACACGGCATACACCTTGACTCATATCATAGGTATTAAAATATTAAATCCATGTACTCCATAGTCCATTCAGCTATTATCATTGTGTGTTTATATTATTATAAAGTTAAAAATATTTTATCAATATTATAAAAAAATAACAATAAATAGTTATTGACTTATGATTCATTTTTACACTTTTATAAAAATCAACTTAAAAATATATTTCAAACACCTACTCAATTTAACTCAAATGACAATTATTAGTAATTTTATGGTTTAATCTTTAAATTTTAAGTCTGTGAAGGAATTAAGAGTAAACTGTTTAATATATTTTAACTTTTACATTTTACTATTACTCTTGGTATTTATAAAAATAATGTCTGAACATTTTACTACACAAGATATAATAGAATGTTCTGATGATGAAAATTACGGTTTTAAACAGAACCAGGTAATTATACAACAAAATATCATTACTTTTTATAAAATAAAATATTTATAGTTACCTAGTTTGATTTTGACCATGAAATTTAGGTATGTTATTTTCATAGTTTCATTTTCTATGAAAACTAATAAATAGTAGACATTATACAGACTTCAATACATTTTGAAGTTGAGCAAAACAAATATCAATATAAACTAATTAAACAAACAAGAAATTTAAATCTGAAAATTCTTAGTATCTTGTTTCTGTATTTGATTTATTAGTTTTTACAATACATTTCAAACCAAACAATCAATTTTAATACTTATAATATAATTATTTAGTAATAGTACAATAAAGTTATTAAACACTATTTCATATTTGTGTATTATCAACAATAGCATTGATACTGTACCTATGGCAACAAATCTTATAACAGCCAGATATGTATAGAAACCTCGGACTTATATAATAATTTAAATATTTATCCAAAATTTTAAATTTTATTTTTACTTGATTACATTTATTGTGTACCTAGTAGGTATTTTTAAATTTTATATTTAAATATATTTTCAATTTTTAGATGAACGAATGTTATCCTGAACCATCTGAAATTTATTCGTTGTACAAAACTTTGGAGTCAGCTAATGTTGCATCCTTAAAACTAGAATGGACTTGTCCTGGACGAAGGGAATTAACACCAGACGATAGTCAAGTATCTCAGAGTAGTACTAATGAACTTTGTGATATTGCAGAGTATGATAGACTTGTTAAATATTTCAACAAATTTATTTAAAAAATTACAAAATATAATTTATTATAGATCACTGGATCAATCCGATTTTGATTTTGAAGAAGACATATCGCATATGAACTTAAATCGTATGGATGGTAAAAAAGAATTAATAGGAAGTGCTAAGAAGAAGACTACTACTTTAGATGCAGTCTTATCAAATATGGCTAGACATCAAAAATTAGACAATATGCTTGATGAAAAATTTGATTCATTATAAAATATAACCATTTTAGGTAAAGATAAGTTTAAATCTAGATTTGTTGCACAAAAACTTACGATTTTATTGTTAAAAATACGTACATATTTTAGTTAGGTAACGAATTAGTGTACATCTACCAGTATGTGTTATGTGACCTTTTCCAAATTATAAAAGTTATAATAATAATAATTTTGCATGATTTAAAATAATTAAAATCGTATCACAAAATAATATTTTGAATATAAGCCTGACAGTTAAGTGAGATGTAAAAAAAAATGTTGGTACATTTTAGTTTAATACTCATAATATATATTTTAGAACAACTTAATGTTAAACGTCAAATTACGTACAAACCATTGATTAAATATAAGTATATTTAAAATTTTAATCAATGTACACACATTATTTTTTCAAAACATCGAAATTGTTAATTTAGAAATAATTTAGTTATAGTTTAATTTAATTTATATTTTTTATTTCTTCACAACATTTAAAAAGTTATAGAAATTATTTGAAATTACAATTTAAATAATTTTCATATCCAATGTAAAAAAAATATGTTTTAGATTTGTTGAAGCTGATATATTATATTAAACTAGTGTTATGGGATTCAAAGGGTATTCTACAGCATCCGACCTAAACACAAAAAAAAGCCGTCTGGGATGCTCTGTATGTAAAAAAAAAATCAATAAGGATACTCCGATTGAACATTTTTCATCAAAACCCTGGATTGATAAAAAACATTTTAAAAACAAGGTTTCTGACAAAAAAATTAGAAAATGTGATTATATTAAATTATCTCCATCTGCAACATCAAGTCCTAAAATTAGTGAATGTTACTGTAATCGTATGGAACAAACAAAAAATGAATCCTTTCCAAAATTAATGTGCTCGAAGCGTTTTAAAACCCCACACCTGTCAGATGTTGACGAAAAGTGGTTGAATGAAATTATTGAATTCAGACGTCAAAATTGGTTTGATTGTCACGCCGATTCATCTATTGATGGAATTATTGTTCAAAATATTATTCCTCTAAGTAAGTATATTGGTTACATATAAACGGAAATTAGTAAGTTAGTATATATTGGGATTGAGACCAGAGAATTTTGGCAATATTACGGTGATGCCCTGTGCAAACATTAGGTGGAATCCATTATAAATTAAAAATATATTATATTAGGTATATCGTATATAATAATTTATAATACTATTGGTACCTACTTTATTAATATTCATTATACTTTTACCAAGCTAGCATATTTAGCTAGTTTTAGATTCTGAACTGAGCGAGAAGGCATAAATTTATTAATTTTTAACTTAAAAGGTGGTTTTTGGAAGCAAATTAGATATAGTTATAGATCTATCTATTGAATCAAAAGTAAAAAATTCCCAGTACTTTTCTTAATAATTAAGGAAAACCAAAAGAAAAAATTAAAGAAAAACAAGGATTTTTACAGAAAACCAGTTTTTAATAAAATCAATATTGTTTATTTGGTGTGATTCTCTTGTAGATAATCTATATTTTTACTAAATGTTTTTATTAGGATTTTCTGTACATGAAAAAATGTTCAAAATATTTTGACACAACTATTTGCAGTAATTTTACATTTTTGATTTGTTATAGTTTTTTGTTTTAAATGTCAAAAATCAAGAAAGTAAAAAACTTTGATGAGTCAAAAAATGTAAAAATTAAATATAAAGTTTGTTATAACTCATAAGTAGTTAATGCTCATACTGTTCCAAAAAACCTTAAGAATATACAAACAAAGTTTTTTCAGATATTATGATTTTTGTTCAAATTTAGACGCAATTAGATATTTAAGTAAATAATAACGTTTTTAGTTATTTTAGTTAGTTTTGATTTATTTAAAATTATTATTTGTGGCCTCGTGGGTACTTGAAAATTTAAATCAAATTATTATATTTTATACATATTGACATTTTCAAATGTAATGTTTGCAACCAAAATTAGTTTAATTTACTGTATTACTATTAGTTGAATAATTTACATTCATAGCTACATTAATATATCATTATAATATGATATTATCATATAATATAATATTTAGTATAATAGTATTTCAAACCGTCTTTGCTCTGACTCATTTTTCGTATCCAATGATTTATCATTGAATTTAAATTCACAAAAACATCCATTACAGTTACCGTCATAACACCTAATGTACAGCAAAGCGTTACCCACTTGTCCACTTTTTTTAAAATATTGGTTTTTTTTATAAAATATATTATATGTATGATTAAATTTAAATTATGATTGCAGATATTTTTAACAAACACAATCTAAATTGTAGTCATCAAAATAATTCAATATCATACACTTCTATTGATGATAATGAGCATTGAACTGAAAATCCATTTGCATATTTGGAAGATATTTAGCAGTTAAAAAACACCTAAATGAACATACAAAAAAAAAATTTGCTGGTAATAAATCAATATTAAATGAAGAGGTAAACACTAATCTCATATGTTGTCTCTGCCTTACAAACGGTCAATAACAGAAAATTGGCATTCAGCAGTTCCAATTTGGTGTTGTTATTAGAGTGAATTGACTAATTATCAAACTTAATTATAAGGACATTATCTGTGTTTTTATTGGTTTTTATATTTTTATTTTTAAGCCAGATGAGGATTTTTAAATTATGCACCTAGTATCTACTCATAAATTGATTAAGTATTAAAATATCATATAAACACAACAAGACAATACAGAAAATGTTTTTTATTTTAAGTTGATATAAGTCAACTCACTTTAATGTTTAAACTTTAAAGGTATCAACACAAAGTTAGAACTGCTGAACTTATATTTTGGAGTTATGTGGTAATAACACGGCGACAACACATACACCATGTTGGTATATTCTCTTGACTTGTGTAGTAACTAGTAACAGCAATATTATGTTATATGGTGTAATGTCTAACACCATAATATGCTTAATATAAATAATGTTTATATTTTATAAAATTAACTACCTTAAGGTAAAAAAAAAATTCAAATGCAGTTTATAAACCTTGGATACCACCATGGCACCATCATCATCATAATCATCAGTTCATTATAAATTTGTATTACTTGATATAAGTTAAAAATAATAATGTATTATACTTAAAATATTTTTTTGTTAAATCGAAAACTAATTATTATTAAGATTACCCATAAATATATATTATACAACACAATAAACACTGCAGTATCATTGTATATTACTGATTTTGTTTTTACATAAAGAAAAAAAAAGTATGTTGCAACAAATATTATTTTACAAGTAAGTTACAAGTGCTGTGCATTAAGTATTGCCAAATTGTATAGATAAATGATTTTAGTTTTAATATTATTATTGAATAGGTATTAGGTAGGTATATAATGTTACTAATAAGTAATAACAATTAATGATTATTCTCAAGTATTTAAACATTTTCATGTTAAGCATCAAATAAATTACCTAGTCCTACAGTGAATGATAAATAATGATTTCATTAAAATATCTTTAATTTAGAATAAATTGTGTCTATTCATCATGTATAATTAATAAAAAATTAAATGTGTATGAATTTGAAGTTCTTATGTTATTGAATGCTATACTTGACAACCGTTGACAACTCAACGCTCACAAAAATACATTCTACTAATTAGACAATATGAATCTAAAATTTAAAATAAATGTAATTATAAATAAAAAAAAAGATACCTATTAACAATTATTTTAAATTTTGTTAAACATAATGTTAAAATAAAATTGGTACACATCTTTAGGCACCAGGGATGGGAATTGAATACCATGACTGTCTCATCAAGTGTCAATAGATACTGGAATAATATGCTAAATGCCCCCTGATATTTAAGTCTGTATGTTCATATAGAGACAGTACTTCATTTTCACACGCTATGCTTGATAAATATTACAGTAGATGAAAATGGTAATTACTTGGGTAGGTACCTAATTACCTAAATAAGTATTACGAGTTTACGACTATTACTTTGCTGCACCAGCCACCAACTGCTCAAATGGTTTTGAGATTACGGTAGTCATCCTTTACTTTTTAATAAGTATTCGAGCGTAAGAGCATTACATCAAAAATAATCACAAATCAGTATGCCCAAAAAAAAAAAAATAAAAAAAAAAATAGCTATTTAAATAAATATAATATATTCTTAGTTTGTTCTGGAATAAACATAAAAATGTTTGTAATGTTAACATTACGTTTGGCCGTCACGACTCACGAGTACTGCCCGCCGTACTGGACATTAGAAAAATAATAGTTAGCACTGCAGCTGTTATTGCGATTAGCCCCGAATGCTGTATCTCAATAAAATGTCTATTTTTATCTATAGATTAAAATATTTAGCCATGATAAATAGACAAATACTATAGGTAATGACAAGCGTTGACGGCTTGACGCGCCTGTACAAGTTTTAGAACAACAATTTTATAGCGTGTTCTAGGGCCTAGGCTATAATAAAATGAAAACTATTTTAAGTAAAAAAAAATCGTATAAACTTCTCGTTGGTTGTGCTAATACGTATTAACTACCATAATATAGTATAGTATTCTTTTTTATGCTAACTACTAACGTTAAACGTGCAACAACTATTTACTTATTTACTGTCTTTATACCAGTGGCCCAGTGACACCGGCTATAAATTATGTTCATCTTAATGACTAAATTATTATGCGACCAGTCCAAGGGGGTGTCGAAGGGAGCTACCGCCCCCTCCATAAGTCGTGAGATGTTCTGTTTTTGCTAATGGATAAACATTTTATAAATGTAGTTAATTTAGTTAATTTTTTTTACACAGACTTTATACAGACCGTCGACACAAACATCAATCATATAGATGTTAATTTTTTGTTTAGCAAAGCGGTATTCAAGACTAAAATGTTTTTGCCCCCCTCACGGAATTGATCTGAAGCTGCCCCTGGGTCGACCACCGAGACAAAACAGTGAAGACGGTCAGACGTGGCCACTGGCCAGCCGAATGCCGATACTCGATGGTCGGTACCGTCACAGAATTACAGAATGATCTGTACCTCTGTCTTCTGTGGTACCATGTCATAACTTATAATCTTATTTCTTTACTATGAAGCATGAATCGAATCACTAAGGCAGTGTCCAGTAAATCACTTCTTGGATTTCACAGGCAATAGTTGCCGCTCGGACCGGTCAGCCGTCGACATCCGTGGTTCTTATGTTTTTTTTACGGACGTCGAACAGAACTCACGAGTGACGAGGAGCTCAAGAAGGATACTTGAAACTTGGAAGTTGGAGTGGTCAGTACTCAGTCTCAGTGGCACACTAGCGTCTGGCGCAGTAGGGTAGTTAGATAGATCAGGAAGTAGATCATGCCATCATGGTGCGACAGACTCTGAGTTCTGAGTTCTGACTAGTGCGAGTAGTGCCCCGTTCCCCGTTTGTACTCTGTATATCTTTATTATTTGTGGTGGCTGCTGGTCGCGTCGTTGGCACCACTGCGCTCGCGTAGCTCTATCGATCCGCTCCCCGCCCCCGCCTTCCCAACCCGACGGACCCGCACTCCCCGTCATCATCACCCGGTTCGTGTTGCCAAGCTCACTACTTTTGAGTATTGAGTGTATATAGTTAATCTATCGGCCGTTTTCCCGTGTGCGTTTCTTATTATTTTTTTTTCCACTTTTTTCCACACGCGATTCCCCCCCTCATGCACTTCCTACCATCATAATCCGTTGTGTCCTCCGCCGCCGCGCGAATCACCAACCATTGCCCCGCGAAAACAAAACCGTTTCGTCGCGCGCACGACAACCAACGCCGTCACCCTCATCATCCCCGATAAAGGTCTGTTGTCGTCGTCGTTGTCGTCGCCGCCGCCGCCACCGTCTGTGAAACAGGACCATAGCAATAGCAGCAGTAGAAGCAGCAGCAGCAGCGGTAGTAGCATTGGTTGTAACAACAACAATACCTACAACAGCAACGACAGCAACAATAACAACAGCACCACCAGTACCCGTCGCCACCGCCGCCTCCTCCTCAGTACGCCGTACACGATTAACGCAGTACCGACCTCAGCAGCGGCATCAGCGACAATAACAAAAACAACAGTACCCTCAACGAACGCCAAAATGGAGCCACAAGACACGAGCATGACGAACCTGATAATCAACTATCTACCACAATCGATGACCGATAAAAAACTTCATCAAATGTTCACCCAGATCGGACAAATCGAAGCGTGTCGGGTGATGAAAGACGTTAAAGTGAGTTCCTACCAATATAGTGTTGTGGTCCACAGATTTTATGAAAAGCTGAGGTGGTAGTTTGGGGGATTTGTTGATCAATTTCACAACTGCTTGAGAGTTTAGGAAACCCTACAGGAGACTTTGAAAACTGTTTAAACAAGTATCTAAACTTGAGCGCAGAACAATAAATTGATACGTTGGTTAGGTTATAAAATAAAGTTATGTATATCATTTTATTTGAATGGACATTTCTTAAGAATTACATTTCTATAAAACTGATTGATTAGGTAAGAAAATAAGTAGCGTATCAGCATTGTAAAATATTGTAAAGCTTAACAAATTCATTCCAACCATACATTAACAGTTTGATATTCGTTTCCTTAATCTAGTTTAAGAACTGAATAGATAACCTTAAATCAATTATTCTAATATACCTAGGTTGGTTAATACTTGAAATTTTGATTTTTATCTAGCCCGACTGTTCCTATTTTAATGTATTAATCATTTTTTTATTTAACTAATATTTGCCGACTGTATGGTAGGTACTACCTAGTTTAATTTAATTTGGTATAGGTATCTAGCTTAAAAACATAAACAAGAATAGGTACATTTTCTTTAAAATTATCTTCATAATCAGCTTAAAATAAATTGATATTATTTTGTTCATATCAAAGTAGATATCTGTGTTGAATGCTTAGGTATTGATTTTACATTATATTACCTATGTTTCTTAGGAAAGGTCTAAATAATATCATTCAATTTTACATAATTTGGATGGGTTAGAACTTAGAAGCCCAGTTATAAGTAAATAATTTAAATGAGAAACTTTAATCTTATAAATACTTACGTATAAATTACAGAGTATAGACTATGGAATATATTCATTTTGATTACATTATTGTTCAGAGATAATGCCTCGGATAACGCTAATACAATTTTACGGTAATAATATCTAATATCCCTGCCAATTTCATAATGATTTAATGCAATTGATATGTACCTACTATTAATTATACCTAGGACCTGACTATCTATTCTGTATTATCTATTTAGGTAAGAACAAAATTACCTATTAAAACAATTAGTATATTATATATTTTAATTGTTACTGTTTGAACTATTTGATACCTAATTAATGGGAAATTTGAGTATTTTTATATAGATATTTTTGAAAACTAATATAAATTCTAAATCTGTCCTTCTCTGTATTTTTATTTTTTTTTTAAGAGCTTTTTACCTTTACCTATCAGACTTGTCCATTTTATCCAGCCTTTTCTATTAACAAATAATGTAGGTGCAAATAGAATCCTAATTATTCGTTGAGAGATATGTTAATATTTAAACTACTAGGTAGCTTTCAAAGCAAAAAAATTTAAAAAATAAAAATGACTTATTTAATGTGTTAAAATTGATAGAAATCATTTAGGTATAACTATATTAGGTATTACAATTTATTTTAACATTCTTTACCTACAACAACTTAAGTGTATAATCTAATAATAATTTCTATTATCTAATACCTACATACCTATTAAATTTATATTATATTTTTTAGACTGGTTACAGTTTTGGTTTTGGTTTTGTCAATTTTGTTCGGCCTGAAGATGCATCTAAAGCTATTGAGGTGATGAATGGTCTCCAAGTTGAGAATAAACGTTTAAAAGTATCTTATGCTCGACCTGCTGGAGAAGATATCAAAGATACAAACCTCTATGTTCAAAATTTACCAAGGTAAAAAGGAAATAATGTTCTAAAGTTAATTGTAATAGGTAGTTATTTTATAAATATTTTTAAAATAATTTAGATCAATAACAGAAAGAGAACTTGAAGATTTATTTGCCCCTTATGGTCAAATCGTTCAAAAAAATATACTTAAAGACAAATATAGTGGACTTCCCAGAGGAGTAGCATTTGTTCGGTAAGATATTAAATTTGTGTATTATATGTATCATAAGTATTAACTTAATCAAAAACAATAAACTGGACAATATACAGAGAATCTTGGTTTTAGAGTCTACTAATCTCGCTTTGTTTCTATTGGCATGGATATTGGTGTATTATTTTTATAAATTGGTATGTAATGATAAAAAATCCCATTTATAAATCAATTCTGGACTAAACCTTGTTAATTTTAAGTTAGATTTGGTACTCATTAAAAATTCAGTGATGCTCATGAGTATTTTGCAAAAGAACTTCATAGAATATTGAAATATTACTTGGTTTTTAATATTATACTGATAGTTTCAACAAATTCCTACTAAATAAAAAAAAACTTATCACAGAAATCGACATTAAAAATCAATACATTCCTCATTTTTCTCAATATTAAGTGAATGTGTATTATGAATATAGTTATATTATATAATATTTAGTGTGAAGCCATTATATTTTTTTTTCTTTCTTATACTAGTTATAACAAAAAAGAAGATGCCCAAAAAGCAATTATTCAACTAAATGGTGTTTTGTTGGAGGGATGCACAGAGCATCTATCAGTAAAAATAGCAGAGGAACACGGCAAACAGAAAGCAGCTTATTTGGCCGGTCTACAAACCGGTTTAGCGCACAGAGGTACAAATGACACCCTCACATACTTAAGCTACTAGATAACAAAAGAAAAAAGAAAAAAACCTAAAAATTCCCCCCAACCAATAATCTGTTTCAATGTCTTCGAAGTTACATGTCATAGATCAGAAACAAAATGTAATAGATTGAATTCTGGCTCATCGGTTTCCTGTAAGTATCATCAATTGTATCTAAACATAGACCTATTATGATCCATTAAAATGTATGGTAATTATTTATACTTGGATAACTATCGGTTAATAGTCTATTCAGTGACGAGCTTATAGCTTTGTTAAATCTATTAAATACAACAAATGGATGACAAGTATTTATTGCATGTAAATGCTGTAAAAATATTCATGAATAATTTAAAACACTGTACTTTAATATCTAACGAGCAAATTCTGTATTGAACAAGAATATAAATATACAAAATAAATTATTACTAATGTACTATTATGTAACTTAATATCATTAAGAGGAGTGTTTAAGTTATACTTATTTTAAATTTTTTGCATATATATTTTTGTTATTTTATTATTATATATTATATTAATTTGCAAAAGTTCTTATTGTAATTGTAAGTATTCTGTTTCTCAGATATTTAATTTAATGATTTGGATTAAATAAAATATTGATCATTTTACCCAATATGTACATTTGTTTTCTATCATCTATTTAATATTTATATCATGCGTATTACAGTGTTTTATGTGATTAATAAACTGCTTCAAATTATAATATATTACCTAAAAAATATAAAGTATTAAGAATTTTATATATTATTTTTAATAATATTAAGCTTTTTTTTAGACATTTCTTGACAATCAGCCTTTTTATTTAAGTTTATTAAGTATTTATATTGTGTTTATTATTGCTTAATCATTTGAATTATAATTTTAGTTATTAGGTATTTAATTGTTTACGTATTATATGTGCCAAACTTCAAAACTTTTTACCTTTTCAATATTCATTCAATTTTTCATGATTAATATTTCTAAGATTATTGAAATACAAATAACTAAAAAAGAAGGATTTAATATTATATAGTTCAACATTTTTTGAAAAGAATTTAGTTATTTTAAGATAGTTATCATATATAAGTGATACGACACATCCGATAACTGTTATTTAGTGTGTTATAGTTAGGAAGTTTAAACCAATATGATTTAAAAAAATACTTTTCTAAATATTAAATATTTTGTGAATGTGCTAAACATAAATAAGGTGTAATGGGTGTTGGTATAAAACTTTTTAATAAATGTTATTTTAAAGTAGGGAAATATTAGATTAAAAAGTTAGTAATACTTTTCCATCCTATTACATTTTGCATTTTAAAGTTTTATGAACTACGGTTTTTCATCTTAATAAGTAGTCTGTAGTCATATAATTTAATGAATGCGAGTGATATGAATAATTAGAGTTAATTTTAATTATGCATTGAAAAAGTATTTAATCATATTGATTAATTGGGTATAATCTGAGGACATATTGGAAGAATCTAGATAAAAAAGGCAAATATAGCATAAGTATGAAAAAAAAGTAATATAGATATAGTGAGGGTCCTACCCGAGGTGGGTCTGCCCACCGCCCACCCCTTTTATTGACAGAATTTAAAGTTCTTGAGGTGCAAACAACTGAATGTATACTTTTTCATTTAAAAAAAATTGGACCCACCCTTTGAAAAATGCTTGGGTACGCCCCTGGATATAGCTAATAAAATTAGATAGGTCATGTGTATTTTATTTTTAAATTGAAAAATATTTAATTAGTCAACATTTACCTAATTAATAGCAATATAAAACATAAATTTAATAATTAGAAAATAAGATAGTATTGTTGTTGTAACTTGTACCTAATAATAAGAGCCTAATGGGATGAGATATAGCTTATAAAAAATTAGGTTGCTTACATTCGTTGTTTATATTTTTCAAATTTTTTTTTATTGGTTGAACAATAATGACCACCTCTAAAAATGTATTATTAAACCTTTCAGCTTGATAGTAGTTTTGTGAGTTTGTTATTTAGTAGAGTATTCTTTTTTATGTACATCCGACATTTTAGGTAATAAAAGAGGTGGTAGCTTATCATATTTTATATTTTTTTTGAGAGGGGGAGGGTAAGGGCTGGGGCACAAAATAACCACATGCACTTTTTTGCTACTAAGACGAACTCGACTCAATGATGCTGAAATAAAAATATTGTTTATTTTGTATTCAATTAAATCAACTTGTTAATTTTCAATTTTAATATTTAAAAAAAAATTTGTTGCGTTTTTTCCTATTACCATATTTGAATAGCCATCATCTTTTCCCAAATATTATCAAAAATATCCTTGTTATTTTATTGGTTATATAATATTATAATATTTTTATCTGAATGGACATTTCTTATTTGTATTATTTATCAGGTTTTAGTTTTATATAAATGGTAATTGAAGTTACATTTTGTTTGTTGATGTTCAATGAATACAATTAATGTATATCTTTGTTTGTATTTTTAGCTTAAAATATAAGTCCAGATTATAAATGTGTAATTGCATTTTTTACTTTTTGGTACAAGTATTTGGTGGCTATCCTTTTAACTAGCTCTTTACCTTAAAAATTATTCATAATTTAGATATGTTTAATATCATGGCTTCCTGTACTTTAAAGCCATATATTGTTACTCTACTCCCTAGACCCTTGGAACCTTATTTTCAATGGCTTAATAGTTTTTTGCATTTCGGGTTAAAGGTTTTTTTTTTAATATTATTTAATATTTGTTATTTGTCAGTTATCTGTTGACACCCACTTGTTTACTAATATTTTTTGTTTTGTATGTTTAGGGGCTAAAAATCCACAAAACATGCACCAATTAATCAGAGCTAATCATGTTATTGACAAGTACCCCATTTCATTGTTGCAGCATGTTGAAAGACATACTATTGGTGCTATGCGCCAAGATAGGGCTAGTTACCGTCTTACATCAGTCAGCTTGTTTCCACCGCCATTTAGCTACAATGTCGGCATCGGTAATGGGAACATGTATTGATATGCATTACTTTTCAATAACATCTTTGTACAAATTTTAAGGTTTTTTTCTTTTTAATGTAAATTAAATTAATATAATATATATATATAACCAATCTTCATAATTTAAAATTGCTCGATACATTTATGAAATGAATACAAAAAAAATTGTTGTAGATTTCTTCTATATTTAGTCTAGAAATTGTATTGTAAATAATTTCAAGTAACAAATAAAGTTTATGTTATGATTCTTTGGAATATTGAAAAAAAACTCATAATTTTAATTTTGATATTATTATTATCCTTTTATATAATAAATTAATTATCTTAATTAGTTTAAAATATAAGCATGCATGTGTGCCTATATTTCATGTTTTTCTACTGTAATGTTTTTTAAATAAAATAACTTGTCTGTATATACAATACTGATCACTGAAGTCTTAAAATACTAATAATTTTCCACACAATTTATAAAAACATCTTTGAATTAATATATATTTTTCTTTTTGAATGTTGTTAATGTTAGATTTTTTTTTTTCGTTCATGAAATACAGTATAAATTAATTTATGTGTAGTTAAAAGTCCAATTGTTTTTTTTTTTTTTTTAATTTCTTATTTGATTGATGATTTACATGCTGTGTTGGGTTTTTGTTTCTTTTCTCAAGCACAGTAGGATAATTTGAAGTTTATTTATAGTCTATGAATTATAGAATTAAGTTTTAAAATTAAACAAATATGCAGGGAGGATACATATCTACAAAAATAATAATCCTAATTAAAGTCATAAATGAAACTTTAGTCATACATAATTATTAAATATGAAATTGACTGCCCAGTTTGATGTGTAGATTAATTAATCAACCTGTTATTTTCCAAACATTGTTTTGATGTATATATATATTTTTTTTATGGTTTACCTAATGCTTATATTATTTTATATAAAATATATTTATGTTTAGAAGCATATATATAAATTATTTAAAGTAACACTTTTATACAGCCATTACTTATTTTGAGAGTACCAACCCATAAAAATTGTAAAAATATTTTGTGTTTGTAATTCCATGACTTCCATAAAATAACAAACAAAAGACATTTTAATATGGCAGGTTGAAACCATTATATTATATTTTGTTTGTCATGTAAAACTGCAACTCATTTACAAACTGTTAGTTACAAAAAATATTAAAATTATGTACTGAATTATACTCTGTCCAACGAGATGGCGGAATTCGCTTGTGCATCCAAATGGAATTCGCTCCGCTGTATTGAGGTTTGAATTCTCCCACCACGGAGTATCTGAACCTGCATACAGCAATGCTGCTGCGCAGTCTAACGGCGGCCAATTTTTGATAACTGCCGGTTCGCTCTTTCTCCTTGGACAGAGTATATACCCTGAGTAAAATGAATAGAACATAATAGAAACTAGTCTGTCATGCTTTGGGTTGGAACTTGGAAAAGTTTGAATGGATATAAAAATTGAAAACTAATTAGGTGATATCATGAAATACCCAAGATACTTATATTGTTTACATAATATTATCGGTGTCAATCATAGATATTAAAGATATCTATGGTGTCAATTAACAATCAAGAAATCCTGAGACAAGAGTTTCTTATCTAGTGTATTATAGTGTAAAGCTCCGTTCACAGGGTCAAATATTTAACGGTGTGATAAGATAACTGTGATTGACAACCCAGATGTCCGTGTTGACAAGATATACAATTATTTCCAACAATGTTAAGATGCTGACATACCCACGTATATAAGTACTATGTATTTAAAAATACATAATTATTTACTTCAAAATTTTACTAAGCCAATTCACAAAACATTAACAATAATTTATTAAAATGTTTTTTTTACAAAAAATTTGGCATTTGCATAAAGAGACAGATATAGCATGTGGGTACGACAATCTCTTAATACAGGATTATGTTTATAAATAGAATAAAATAAGATGAGGATAAGTCTGAAATATGATAAAATGTAGTTACACATCACTGTAAAAATAATATCAATATTATAATTATTTAAATATCGCTGAAGTTCTTATTAAAATATTAAATAATCAGACTAAAATAATATCTCTGCTCTGACATAATATACCTAGTAAAATGTTTATAATTGTGTAAAGTGTAGTTTTTCCTGAGTAAAGTATTACTTAAATTTGTTTATAACAGTCAATAAAGTAGGTACATAATACATATTTCTTATAAGTGGACTGGCATTATACAACATAGAACATCATACTATATAATATAGGGTGTAACGGGAAAACCTGACACAGAAACAGAAAAAAGATGCTAATATAACGTATGCCAAAAATATATGGTCAGTAAACAATTTAAGAAAATTTATACTCAGGAAATTCCCAAAAATAATATCTTAAACTTATTATTTATTTATATTTGAAATTAATTTACTCAAAAAAATATTGAAAATTTAAAAAGTAAACTACTTGACTTAGATAAATGTTTTTACCACCAAAATTGTTCTTTTAATCAAATTTACAAATTGGCTATTTTGAATTTATCCAAATTTTCAGTATTAAAACATAAATATATATTTAATTATATGTCTAATGCAAGATTATAAATAATAAAAATTGTAAAACATTGATTGGAACAAAAGTTATATTGTCTGTCACGTCTCCCTATTACACCCCAAAAAAGATAAAAAAAAAATTTGATTATTTAAAAAGTAATAGGAAATGATCTTTTTCAACGCATTAATTAGCTTTAACACACAAAATAATTTATTTTTAAATGTACATTGCTATAAATGTTTAAATTTTTACACATAGTGTTATTTGGAAAATGTAGAAAAATGTTATACTGTTTTTTCTAAGATAATACTGTAATGTACTTGGTTTTAAATTGAAATTATGTCATTTTACTCAAGTCCTCGACAAATTTTAGTAATCTAACACTAAAAAACTAATTTTTGTGTAATATTTTATTGAAAAATAAGCTAAACAAAGTATTTTAAATGAGCGAAAGCCTAAGAATAGTCCTTTAGTTTATTAAACCATAAAGTTAACATACTCTTTGACAGATCATAGACATAACTTATACTAAGTTTAATTTTAACTAAAACTAATTACCTTATTAGACTTAAATAAACCAAAACTCAAATTTTTGTTATATTTTTTTTTTATATATTTAATAAAATAATTATTTTACAAAAACATCCTTATTCGTCTCCCTTAGTTACCCTTGTGTATATTAATTGGGCATGGTGTTGTATTACTTGCTTGATAAGACCTGCATAATTATATTTATAAATCAGACAAATTTGTTCATAAAATATTGTATTTGTTTATCTTCTCACCTTTTTGGCAGAGCTCCTCTAAAGCTTTTCTTGCCAACGATCCACGAACCTTCAAACGTTCACTAACAACAGACGGGGTAATGAGTTTGTACGATGGAACTTCTTTTAACAGTTTGTCATATGATACCTTATCGAACAAAACTTGATTGTTCAACTTGTCACGAACTTTACCTTTGGACCACTTCTGCACTCAAAAAACACAAATAAAAATGTATAACATAACCTTAATCGTGATTACAATCAGTATTAATTTGAAAACTGACCTTCTTTTTGGCTTTGCCACCAGATCCTCCTTCTTTTTTCTTTTGAGTTTTCTGGGGCTGTTTGGACGAGCCCTTTGTGTCCTTCTTGGGTGGCTAAAATACAGACAAAAAACATGGTTAGCTGAACATCGAGCGTCTACGTAAGACATAAATTTCCTGACAGTCTACCAATTTCGAGCAGTATTCGCATCATATCGATAAATTCGGCTATTAATGTACATATAGCAGTAACACAGGAACGAAATAATTAAGGTGAAAACCAACATAGTTGCAAATGAAATACATGGAAAAAAACGTAATAGCTACATGGTTTTAGGGAGCGATGTTGGCATGTGTCAATTACAGATGTACGGTCGTACTATGTAATACATACATCGGCAAGGAAGAAGCATGTCCGATTGCCAATACACTAAGTAATATTGACTAAAATAACTCACCATATTTCTTTAGAATAGACCTGACACCTGAAAAATAATATTGAAGTCGAGCTGAACAAACCGCGTTTTATTTCATCAGAAAGAGGCGAAAACACGACGTGACGGACAGGGAAACAAAACCTACAATTTTCGCAAAGCACTGATTCAGTGTCTCTAGAATGACAATATTTGTTGGTTTTTCGCGTGCCGTTGGTAGTACCACTGGTGCAGTTCCTTTTTCGGTTATCATTTTGTCCTACCAACCACAGCTGTTTGAAAAATCCATTTTCGTTATCAGTTATCACGTTATTGGAATATTTTTCTTAAGGTAATAAGGTGTATCTAACTACTAAGTCTTAAAGTCTGGAAAATAGTTATTCGAGTAAATCTTCATCGTTGAGGAATGTTGCACTGACTTCGACCTTATACTTAACAGTGCTAATCGCGTGCAAACATGTCCGTGCACGTGTTCAGCAACAACGTGAAGGTTCTCAGTACGTATTTACTTTGAAATCATGTTGAATCGGAATGCTTGTACAAAGTTTGATTTACAGGAAACCGGAGTTTGTCATTGGCCGTCTGCTCGTCTTCTCACTATAGCACTGAATCTTCTGAACCCCATGTCATCAAGAATCCGTCTCTGTCTCAACTGAAAAGGGGTACCGGCGGTCGGTCGAGTTTCAATGGAGTGGTGGCCACCGTTTTTGGAGCGACCGGACTTTTGGGCGGTAGTCTCATCAACAAATTAGGCAAGATCGGGACACAGGTAATTTTGCTTTAAGACCATTTATATTTATGTGGTTATTTATTAAAATTCAATGTGGGAACAGTTGATTATTCCATATCGAGGAGATGCCTACTTCATAAGGGAGTTGAAACTTGCTGGCGATCTGGGTCAAGTGTTATTTCAACCATATCACTTGCAAGATGAAGAATCTATCAGGAAAGCGGTAAAATACTCAAATGTTGTCATAAATTTGGTGGGACGTGATTGGGAAACAAAAAATTTCAAATTCAATGATGTCCATGTTGAAGGAGCAAGACGTATTGCACGTATTAGTCGCGAGATGGGTGTTGAACGGTTGATTCATGTATCTGCACTTAATGTTGATCCATTGCCAGCTGTAAGTATTTTTATATTTACAATACTTTTAATTACCTACCCTCTAATCTCTACAAATACATCTTATACATTTCTGATAATCTTTTATCATTAATATATAGAATATAAAATAAGACAGTATACACTATATTTTACAGAAATAAAAAAATTATAGTATTGTCATTTCTATTTACCTAGAAACCATAGGGTTATAATTCTTAATATATATTTTATAATAATCATATTATAATTTTATTATATTTATTAATAAATTGTTCTTCATTGTTCTAGCCTATCTATCTGAAAAAAGGATCAGGATTTTTGGCATCTAAAAAAGTTGGTGAACAAGCAGTATGTGATGAGTTTCCTGATGCTACTATTTTTCGTCCATCAGACATTTATGGTCAAGGAGATAGATTTTTATTGTAAGTGTCTCATATTATTAGCAGTTATCAATGATAGTAAAATTTAAAATAATTATTGAGCTTTAAGTATTTTTGTATTAAAAAAAAAGTTAAGAAAATGATTTATTATCATATAAAACTATTGAATTGAAATACTTACTCATTTGCAGTCACATTGAAATGTTTTGGTTTTATTTCTTAAATTTTTCAACTCTTTAGTTCCATTGTAATGCAATTATTCATATTAAGCTATTTTGTAATTGTGATATCCATTATATAAAATTCTACATATTTACCTACATTTTAACTGTTAAGATTTAGCCATATTAATAACAATTATTTTGCTTTAAACTAATATGTTGCACTTAGTGTCTAAAATGAATTTAATCTCTGCTATTTTCTTCTTTTTAGTTTTTCCAAAAATGTTTACATTTTATTGATTTTTTCACTTGAATTATATTTTCAGATATGTTAACTAGTACTACTAGTACTACTATGTATCGTGTATTTTGTTATAACTATTTAGCCTCTAAAACAGGTTTACAACATTGTTACCACAACTGAAATCAAAAGCTTCAAACCTAGTTAAAAAAAACCATTCTCAAAACATCAAATCAAAACCCAAACTGAAACCTAAGAATTTTTAAAATACATGCCAAATCCATTAAAATATAAATGGTTTTTAGCCAGGTCAAACCTTGCTATAAAATTAACTAAACTTTTGGTTTTGACATTTTAATAGAGCTCATTGGCCTTCAGTGACAATATAAAACTAATACCACTCATGTTCCATGTAACGTATCCTCTGTTCCAAAAGAGAATTAGTTCTGCAAATTTTTTTCTCCTTCCATCGGTCACTACCTATGCTGCTTTGTGGGAGATGCGCTCCGTCGGTCAAAAACTAGTCGCAGCCTTATAATTTTCGCTTTTTTAACGGAGTATAGTCTATGATTTGCATTTAACCAGTTAATGTATTCAATAAAATTTGATATGAAATAGTAGTATTAGTGATCATATGGTATAATTACTTGTTCAATGCATTGATTTATGTTAGGTGTTAAAATCAATACAATGTTTTCCCATTGTTTATTTTTTAAATAATTATTACCTACTTTTATTTTAGGTAAGATATATTGTAATAAATAATCTACTCGAGGATTTATGTCACCAACTAACTATTTTAGATAATATGTTTTCAACTCTTTCATATTATTTTAGTCAAAAGTGGTAAACATTTGAATAATATTGTAAATAATAATATATATTAAAAATGTAATATACATTATATATATATTTAACTTTTCTGGTATTCTTGTCAATAAATTATTATATTAATATAGATAATATATAAATAGATAGTTATTATCAATTGTATGATACTATGATAACATTTTTTATTATTTTATACATTAAAGAAAATTTGAAAAATATTTATTATTTAGGATGTACAGTCACGCATGGCGTCGTAGTCAGCAGAAAGTTGTTTTATGGAAGAAAGGAGAACAAACAGTTAAACAACCTGTTGCAGTATCTGATGTGGCATATGGCATTGTGAATGCTATGCTTGATCGTTCAACAAAAGGGAAAATTTACCAAGCTGTGGGGTATGTCATTTGAAATTACCTGAATACATTTTTGCAATATTATTTAATAATGAAAAATTCAAACATTTTTAGGCCAACTCCTTATATGTTATCCGATTTGATCGATTGGATGTTTGCAGTTTTACGCCGTAATAAGCAATTCAACTTTGATTATAAACGTACTGGTATCCTGGAAAATCCTCAATATCTAATAAAAATGTGGTTAACAGACAAACTCTGTCCCAGTTGGCCTCCAGGTTATGTTACCTCTGAGCGCTTTGAAAGAGTAAATAATTTTGTAAAATTAGGCTTGTGAATATATAAATTTTTAATCAATTATAAATGTGATATGAATAACATTTGTATGTTATAGGAGTTTGTGAGTGATATACTTGATGAAAGGCTGCCAACGTTGGAAGATCTAGGTGTTAAACTAACCAAGACAGAAGAGCATATACCTTATGAGCTAAGATTTTTGAGAGCTTTCCAGTCATACATGGATTCGATTGGTGAATTTGAAAACCCAGCTCCTCCACCCCCTTACATAGCATCACCGAAGCGTACTTTCACATAAATCGTCAAATTAGGTATAACAGATGAAATAATTAGTTTTTTGTTAAAATGTAATACTCATAAATATAATATTTTAATTGTATAATCATTTTTATTTACAAACCTTAAATTCTTGACATTTATCTTTATTTTAATAGTAAATATTAAATAATATAATGACATAATATTATACATTTTTATCTATAAAATAGTTACAAAAAGTACCGTTCACATTTAAGTCCAGTCATTATCAGAGTGCTATATTATATTATAGGAATACTGACTAGGTATATTCATACGGCTTTAATAACTTATACTGAAAAGTCAATTTCATTAAATTATACAATATATTTTTTTTGTACCTAATCCTAATCTCTATAATAATAAGACTTGAACTGAAGATACATTCTATTACAAAGTTTAAGTCATCTTAATGGCTAGTATCACATCCGTCCTGAATCGTTGTTTTGATGTTTCAGAAACCATCTGAAGAACGCGTCTGTCGCAGTGGACCTAGTCGGCTGTGCCACCAATCAGAGTCTAAAAAAATAAACAAATACATAAATAAATATTCAATTGTGTTAGAGGAAAATCAACATTTTGTCAAATAAAAAATAAAACCAAAAAAATTGTATAATGTATATTATTATGTTTAAAATAAATGTTTGTTTTCAAATATTGAGTTCACCACACACCTAAATTGTAGGAGTGTTAAAAATAAAAAAATAATACCTATACTAAAACTAAACAAATATTTTTCTAAACCTAGTTCACATTTTAATTATTTATTTGGTTCTAGGGATTTTTTAACGTGGGGAGGGGTTTTGATGCTGATATTTTATTTTTATTAAAAATGCATAACTGAAACTCCTCTATATTAAACTTAGAGAATTATACTAATATTAGTATTTTGTAGAGTGCTTTAATGAAGAAAGGGTGCCCATACGCCATGTAAATTTTGATTTATTGGCTGGATTGTCTGCCATTAGTTGGTTAATATTGTTATGAGAAGTATTGATAACAATTTCAGTATTTTGATTTTAAGTTATATTATTTTTTGACTCAGTATTATGATAGCCACTATTTTTGCAGTTTTATTTTAAAATGTACTATATTTTATAATAACCAAGTACTGCCTGGATGTGCAGCTATTGGGTGTACACATTTGGCAAAAAAAGGGTAACTATTGAAACACTTCCCCAAGAATAAAGCCAGGAAAAAATTGTGGCTTGTTAAAATTAATTGTGATCTGTGGGCTCTAACAAATTATTCTTGACTCTATAAGGGACGTAGTAGGTGTGCTGGATCTAAGTTTAGCAGTGCTGATTTTATAGTAAGCATTTGGTGCCCCTAATATGAAAAAAATTGCTATAAAATAGCTTCTGTCGTTATATCATAGTATTATTATCTGCACAAAACTAATTTCTTGTACTATAAAATATAATATAAATAAATATTATTTGCTGTTGTTGGTTTAAACTTTGTATCTTCATATTTTTAAAAATGCTACTTCCCCCTTCCGGAATGAATCTACTGAACCTGCTACCATAATCAAAGGTAGGTAATAGGTAGGTACTACTGTACTAATTTTTTAAGTGCCTACATGTTGACTACAACCTTCCTACTCGTATATTTTAAAAAATAAAAAGATGTGGCTTTCAGACGTTTACGTTAATTGAGCAAGTCAACATAATTATAAAATATATTTAATGGGCTTTGTTGGCTTCACATTTTAGTATTTTACAGGAACGAATTATTTTTTTTATAAAATTGTATGTTCTTTTCAAGGTACCTATTGTTAAACCAATACAATGGGCATAATGGCTATAGGCTACATTTATTTTGAAACACTCAAAATTCAAAATTATAGAATATAAGAATATTTTATTCTCAGTAAAAATATTGGAAAATTTAATACAAGGTTCCTAATTAGGTAGTAATTTGTAATTTGTTTTACTTATAGAATTAAAAATATAAAATATAAAAAATACTTGGGAATAAATTTTTGTTTTACGATTTTTCCTGTAACGATTTTAATTATTATGTAGGTACTTCAAATATATCAATCGTATGAACTAGAAACTTTACACTTTTACGTACCTATATATTATTTAATTTCCTAACACAATGAAATGTTCAAAATTATATATGGACTTATTTTAAGCTATATTTTACACCACGAACCTTACATTCACACCGTTCTATTCGGATTCTTCAGTACGTTTCACCTGTGCGTATTACGAACACACACGGTCTGCACTATGGTAGTATATCATTTTATGTATTTTACCTACGCAATATAATAGGGGCCTCGGAAGACATTGACTCGGGCCGGAACCCCCATTATTATGATATACGCGGGTGTCTGTTTAACCACAGCTGGCTAACACGGTGTTGTATAGGTATAGCAAGTACGTATAGCAATTATTATTATAGGTGCGTTACCGCTAACAAGGTCGTGACCGCGGTCAACGAACACGCGGTTCGCAGTCCTCGCAAAACTCCCGACAACTCAACTTCCTACTTCCGATCCGATTTCCTCAGCAGTCTTTCGGACACAACTGTACGGACCCCGTTATTTTATTATTTAACCCTGCGTTCCTATGTAGTGCGCCGACGCGTCCTCTTAACATAGACCAATAACCATGCCTAATTTGAATAAAATAAATAAATGATACCTAGTGGCAAGTAACCCATAAAAATGTGAACATCAAACATTCATAAACAATGTATGCGCCTTTATGCTAAACATTTAATTTATAAATTTAAGTAAAAAAACTTCTGATGAATTTTTTTAAATATTATACATGTCTTAGAAGTGACAGTTAAAAACTACGATTTTTCAACTACAAAATAATTTTCAAGTTTTCATGATTTTGACAAATGTTGTTAAAATTTGGAATTACTATAAAAAAAATAGGATTTAAGATGGTAATAGGTATATTCTATATTTGTTAATTGCTGTTAGAATAACATGAATAATGTTGAATTTAAATTATTTTAATATTCAAACTAAATAAAACATTTTTCTTCTTCAAAATTTCAAAATTTCACAATATCCTGCAATAATTGAATAATGCAGAGTAGTATGTATTTATGTGAACAATTATTACCCTGTATTTTCGGTAATGAACTTTTAAAAAGGCGCAATAATAATCAGTTGTCATAATGCTTTGTCTTACACATGTTAAGTTAGTACCATGATCATGATTACCTACATATTTACACGGTTGAAATTAAGGTTTCATAATCTATGGTGAAATTATTGAATACAATTTTGTTCGTGACGGAAGTTTTTTTTTTGTATGATTTCTAATTTCTAAATATTTTAATGATGTTTTTTTAACAGTCTACCTATTCATACTCACTAATCTAAATTATAAAAAACCTCCAACGAAACACGGATAAAATTGTTCTCGATAATTTCTATTATTTTAGTTATAATAGATAGGTGTGGATACCTCAATTTCGACCGTGTAATTACATTAGTGGAATTACCCAACCGCTTTCATCACGTGCTTATGAGTTATGACAAATACAACAAACGATCTTACTGTTGCGCCCCTCTTAAGTCAGGCATCTCCGTAGAGCATTCGAATTAAATGTCGATCTGCAGCTGACAAACTAGCAAACATCCGTTCAAAAATCACAATAAACGCCCAAATAATATTATACACAGTAAATGTACGACGTGCTAATATTTTTTACCGATTATTGTTTTGGATTCCTGCGGTATACACCGCGCACACACGCACACAAACACACGCTATCCGGAAACGGTCTTGCGGAACAGGTGTATGTTATAAAAATAACAAATATAGTTATTCAATAAAATACAGTTGTGATTGTGAGTGCGTCGGCCATCGTCAGACTATTTAGCTGTTGTAGGTACGCTAACAGAGTGGACCGGAAGCTGCTCTTCTGGTGGGAAAAAAAACGAAAAGATTACTAAAATGTTTACACCATTATTACATATACATGCTGTGTCCCACGAAACGTGCAAATGCAGGCATTATAATACGGTAGGTAGGTATTATAGATACTATATTTTCATGAATGGTTAAACATATATATATGTATATAGATATAGGTATACCTATAGTTTTTTTTAATGAAATTTTTGTATATTTTACTACACTTTTGAGAATTATTGCTATAAACATACTGGTTTTGTGCAGTTCACGACGTATAAAGTATACATAACAATAATTAACAGGTACAATGCTCGGAAAACATGTGAAATTGAGTTGATTTCGATACGATTTCGTATAGGTATTAGCAGTGGTTTTCGCAGGATTGTTCAAGGGGAGGGGGGGGCTTAAAAATTAGGTACAATTTTATTTTTATTTGTCCAGTCTAATAATTTCAGACGTTTATTTGAGGTATTTTAAAATGCTTGTAACTTTTCAACTTCTCTGGTAGAAAAAATGCTCTGATCATAACCTTCGATGCGTAGTGTATGTTTTTGGAAGCAAATTGCATCTAGATGGTACTTTTAGGAGGTCAAAATTGAAAATGCTTAGTGCTTTTAAAAACAATTGGAGAAAAAAAATTAAAATTTATTTAAATGTTTGGTTATACCGTCTTCACCTGGATTGTAATTGAATAATTAAATTTATTTTTTTCTATAAATGTCAATAAAAAAATATTTGAAAAGCTTAAAAATGTAATACGTAAGTTTTTTTATTATAGCTAAAATATTAAAGATACATAGGCATCATGGTTATTTTTTATAAGCATATAAAGTTCAAACTTCGTCAAAACCACAGTTAATTTGTAGTTCAAAACTTATAAAATATAAAATATATATATATAGCTAAGGCTAGACTATTTAATACAAGGTCTTTCATACAAGGAGTTCATACTTTTACCGAAAAATTACAGAAAATTTATGAAAATTGGTATGCAAATACAACGTTTTTTCAAAAATTAATTCATTCTCTTGCTTACTATAGTTGACAGTTTAACTTGATTAATATTTTTTTGAGAAAGTAATAATAATACGGGCAATGGGGGGGGGGGGCGCTTCAGCCCTTTAGCCCTCCCCTGTGGACGCCACTGGGTATTAGGTATTACAAAGCTGGGCAAGTTGGTCATTTTTTCAACTAGTTGAAGTTAAGTTACTTTAATAAAAAAACTAACTAAGTTAGAATATAAGTTAGTGTCTGAAACTGTCCAAATTTCTAACTTAGTTAGTTATAAGTTAGTTTGGTGAAAATAGTAACTTAATTTAGAGTAGAAGTTAGAAGTTAGTTTTTTTTATAGATTAAAAAACTATTTTGTTGAAAATTTGAAATGTAATTAATAATAAGTTACCGAACTTAAATTATTGATTAAAACTGAAAAATTAAATTAAACACCTAGTAATTTGATCAAAATGTTCTAATTAGGTAATTAATAATTTAAATAAATTGGAAATAAATTGGTATATCACTGATCAGTTATTAGAACATAAAGGGCGAAAAAAAATATATAACTTAACGGTATGACAACTTAAAATATAAATAAATAATAATACATAATATAATCTATATGACTATATTCTAGTATATTTTATTCAAAATATTTGTTAAATTTTAGCAAAAGTGACATTTCAAAGTTATAATCAGACAAAGACCCACGCCTTTCATCGAATAATTGGCCTCCTGCACTAAAAAGTCTCTCGACGTGAGCACTAGAGGGAATACTTCTCTTGTATTATACTTAATATACAATTTTTGTTTTCTTCAGAAAATGTTGTTAATGGTAGTTTAGGAGAAGAGTTTGAATATTAACACTAATTGGTAAAGTCACCCGTATGGATACTATTTATATCTAGTAGATATCAACATTATACAGACTACGCGAAATATCCGTAGTTCTGTGCGCGTGCATTATTATAAATACTAATAAGTAATTAATAATATATATGAGCCAATAATCTATATAGGCATATATAGGCATATAGCCATAATGTCATGATTGAGGAACAGCTTTTGGAATTTTGGAATGAAAAAAAAAATTATAATAATAACTAGGTAGTTAGTTTTCTTTCTAACAAGTTAGATTAGACTATTTTACACATTAAATTCAACTAGTTAAGTTACAAAGTTAATATGAATTAAAACCAACTACCTAGTTAAGTTAGAAAGTTACTTAAAAAGTAACTTTCTAACTTAATTTTAACTTTCTAACTAGTTAGTGCCCAGCTTTGTAGGTATATACTCCTCGTATCAGTGGCGGCAAAAGTCCTAAATCGCACGACTACTCAAACCACATACATATTAAAATAGGGCACAAAATACAAATGCACTATCTTCTGAGGTAGCTCCCCGACCAAAAATGTTATTGTTGTTTGAAAATGCAACATTGGCGGAAGGAGGTCATACTATGTATAATATTTTACATACACAATTTTAGCATCCCTCCCAAAATTAAACCTCTATAATTCTAAGAAATGTCACTGTTTAAATGTTAAATAATTGTTATCAGCTACATGATTATTTATTATATGAAACCTAACCTATCACACCGTTCTCTTTGATATATAAAGAATATATTACTAGGAGCCTCTAAAAATAAAACTTGTGTTGCCGCCACTGATACACACAATAAGTTTATTGCATACACTATTATAGGACAGCTGGAAACGACGACACCATATGTGCAACCCGCGTTGTTTAGTGCAGATAGGTATTCAAACATATATACATAAGACGACACACATAATATAATATATACATATACAATGTATAATATAATAAATTAATATATAAAATACTATTTTATTATATATAAAGCAGGACTGCACCTCAAAACTCGAGTAATGATTTATTAGCAAATACACTGCATATGTGGCACACGCTTTCATGCGATAAGGATAACCAACCCTCCGAGGACCGTAGACAGCGATGAGAGACGAAAAATAAATACTTAATCCAAGACTTAGAACGTACCCCCCCCCCCCTGACGTCTATAAAAGATAATTGGTTCTGTCTTCTGTGCCTGTTGCCCTGTTGGCTGTTATGTCCATATGGGGAAACAAGATAAAGACTTTGATGTACGGGGTATCCGTATTATACATATACATTCATAGAATAACATTAAAAAGCCATAAAGCAGCAGTGGTGTTCCCATGGGGTATACTATCACTATGTATAACGCCTACATATATGCCGTCGCCGTAAAATCAATAATCATCACGAGATGTTGTTGAAAAATCATGGATGCACCAACTGTATAGTAAACTGGAGAGGTCCCATCGGGAGTTTTGACTGAAATTATGATAAAATTGAAATCTTGTTTGAGTGAGCTGGTATACTTAATGATTTTGATATATATGATATCATATATAGCTGCTGCGCAAATAAAATAACTAATCAGTTGGCTTCTTTAAGGAGAGAGCTTTGTCAAATTATTGACATTATCATTTTTTGCTCGTGATCATGGACACAGGACACGTCTCAGTCACCCCTCCTAATATAAACCATCGGTAAAGTAAAAATATCCCTGGTAGGACACTCGACGGCCACTAAGTAAACATTAAAAAAATCGATGGGAGCATCACTGCGAAAAAGGTTCAAAAGCTCGCGTTCAGCTGCGTACTCACCGAATGACGTCGATCGGTTGGTGCCGGCGGCGACCGTTGTGCAGTTGGTGGCGGCGTCTGTAGAACGGCCGTCGCCACTGCCACCGCCGGCGCCGCCGCCGTCGTGTTGGGCCAGCGCGGGCGTCAGTTCGTCGGGCGTCGACGACCTACTGTCGGGCGACTCGCACACGACCGCTGCCGCCGCCGCCACTGCCACCGCGGCTACGTCCGGTATCTGCGCACACACACACACGTACAACACTCACACTTCATTTCGGCCTCGGATTTAAATTTTCGTGGGTAGGGGGGTTCAAATTGCTGGTTCTTTCGTAATTTTAATACTTTTTTTGCATTCGATTTTTTGGTTTTAATCTTAAAATAGTAGTTAGGTAGTAATTTATTTTAACGTGACGCGTCCGCCTGCACGTCAATCTTATATATTTACCGTTCTCGAGTTTTGCGCCGTGTCCATGAAACTCCGACCACGTGCGTACTGGTACACGTCGAAATCGTTGGTCACCTCTTCGACTTCCACGTGCAGGAAACTCTCTTGACTGCCTGTGAACTAAACGTACAGGCACACACACACACACACACACACACACGCACTGTTAATAAGATTTGCCATTGATCATTATTTAAGTGTTTTATCATAAATTCATAAGATATAAGATATAATATGTACCAGGTACCTATATAATAATATATCGCAGTTAATAATAATAATATACCTACGTGGCTACGTATATAATGTTATATTGTTATTAATGTGTTATACAATATAAACTATAAAATATCTGCTCTATATAGATACAACGATATTAGAAATTATTCCATCTAATTTATTAGTATACCCATAGATATATTTATTGTATAGGCCGTTTTCGTTTGATATTGTTTAGTATTTTTTTATAAACGCCTATATTATTTATAACAACATAAACGTGCACGGTGCACATATTCATGTGCAGTCAAATAGGTGCAGGTGTATAATGTATATATATATATAGGTATATACAGCTATACAGGTTACTCATAAGTTATAACGATTAACATAATAATGTAATACTAATAGCTATTTAATGCTATGTATATGATATGATTAAACATTCTATTTTATTATGATGAACGCATTTTTATCCCAACCTTCTCGGTTACGCACGTCGCTTCTCGGTTCAAACTCCAAAACAACACATATATTACCAAATTACAACCAGTTTTCAAATTTTCGAGTTGCATTAGTATTTCCTAAATTATTGCGTCAGACATCCTTCCACTAACTGATCATTATTAAAAAACCCCTTACAGCAGTTACACAAAAATGATAACAATTAAATTGTTTATATTTAAGTTTTTTAAACACATTAATCGAAGCAAAATATTAAAACAATGGGTGGATTTCAGCTTTCAAGGCTTACATTATTAATTTATAAATAAAATGAGATATACCTATTGGTAAATGGTGATGAATATATCAAAATCATAATTCTTTTTAACTCATTTTGAATAAACCATAGTTTAACTTGCACTTTTACTCAATTTCAATTTGTTTCTTATATAATTTATAATAAATGTTTGAATATTATGATTATCAAAATTCGATGGGAAATAAAAATTTGTTAGGCACCTGTCTAAACGATTATTTATCTTTGTTTTTAAACAGTATAGTGAAAATATTTTTATAACTATACAGTATATTTAATTTAGTATATTATACTATTCAGTATGCAAGTAAAATATAATTAATATATTGTTTCACCGAGAAGATATCAACAGAAACTTTTTTCTAATACTATCATAGTGTTGTCATATTATACCTACATTCTATATATTGGCAAATGGCAACAATTGAACAACGGTATTATATGTTATTAAATTGAAATAAACATATATTCAATGTACTTATAGATGGTATTGGATAAAATAATGGACGAGATCTCATGTCTTGTTTTATCCAGGGGTGGCTCCAGAGACATGGAAGGGGGGCGCAAGAAAATGTCAATGATTTTTTTTGTAATTTTATTTTTAACAGTATAAAATTATTTAGAAATACAACTTGGAAGGGCCATGGACCCTAGGCCGCCCCTGGTTATATCACTTATTCACTTATATCGTTATAATCAAATAGATTACCTACATTTGATGATAACTGATAAGTGATAAGTAATTACATTCTGACTGGCTTTTGAGTTTTGTTACAGGCAAGGTGGATTGATAGATTGATCAATCCACCTTGGTTACAGGCTTATACCCATTATCTACTATATGTCTACTTTCCTTTTTTTTTTGCACAAATACCTATAAGTACTTACCTAATTAATAATCATGATAATTTATAATATTAAAATATATAGTTAATTATTAAGAATTACAAACAGGCTAATATGATAAAAAATATATTATAGTCACACAAAACTAAATCAAAACCTCCTTCACTCATTAAAATATTGATCTAGCCTGTATGAATTATTTTTAATCCAAAATTCAAAATTGTTTTTAGATTCTGAGTGGAACGATGAATGTATTGATTTTACAATGATGTGTAAATTATTTATGTATTATTTATTTTTTATTTTTGGTGCTGTGTACATGATATGTAGTCGAAATAATGCTTCGATTTGCAACTTCAGAACTTTTTCGATTGGAAAGTGAATATCGTTGGTACGTTGAGGAGGTCAAAATTTAAAATTCCTAGTAATTTTCATATGCGGCGGAAAAAACAACATAAAAATTAAGGAAAAACGGGAATTTTCACTCAAAATCGGTTTTCCACAAATTCGATTTTGGTTTTTGGTGTAACACTAAAACAAATGAATGTATACTCGATACATGAAATTTTCACTGGTTATTTATATTTGCATTTTCTATGTACGTTGAATTTTTCAAAATATTATGATTTGTTTTGAACTGTTTAGGAACATTTTCATTTTCCACTTTTTTAGTTTTTTTTTCTATAAATATCAATAAAGTTTTACCTGTTGGGTCGAAAAGTGTAAAATTTAATACAAGGCTCCTGATATATTGTTACAATATCAGTTGAAAAATACATAAGCACAATTTTTTTTTATAAGCATTTAAAGATCGAATTTTGACAAAATGTATCAAATTTAAAATTGAATAATTATTTTGTAGTTAAAAATTTATAAAATGTTCAACTTTTATATCTAAGGATTAAAAATTTAGAACAAGATTCCATGCAAGTAGTTAATTCTGTTCCCAAAAAATCTAAAAAATACACAAGTACAGTTTATTTTTATAGTAATTTTAAATGCAAATTGGGACGAAATTACGTATTGAAAAACCTAGAATAACTATTTTAGTTATTTTGTTGTGATTGTAACTATAATATTATTCGTGGGTTCTTGAAACTTCTAAAGTGTACTATTATATCTATGATAGTATCACAGTTTGTTGTTGATGTATAACGCGTTATAAGTACCTAATGGATATTGTGATATGATTAATTTGGAATTTATTAAAGGTACCTATTATAGGTAAATTTTTTTTTTAATACCATATACATGAATATAATATGTCTTATACCTAGACTGACATACCGCCTCCACTCAGAATCGTTTTTCTTATACAATGATATTATATCATTGAATTCAAATTTAATACCATCCATTATACAGTGACCCACTTGTAACCTACTGTACAGCAGAGCACCTTTTTTATATTTTAACTGATTAAATAAAGTTTTGTTCTGTTTTAAAAAAAATCTATGACTGAATGTTTATTATGACACAATGAATAATAGCAAATTTGTAACAATAACGGAGTCATAGTAAGTTGATCATTGTTTATAATAATTTATAGTTTATACCCATATAGGTATAAGTATTCAACGCATTAATAATTCCTACTATAGTCGTATGATGAGCTAACCAACCAACTATGTGTATCTAACCAAATATAAAAAATCCTAATGGCCAGAAAAAATTGTATAATATTTTCATGAAATGGATTATTCCATTCTTCATCAACAAAAAACATGACCAACATGTTTTTACCAATTGCATGGGTAACAATATTAAATACAATGTTAAATAATATCAGTTAAAATAGTTTAATAGATGTCTTATTAAATACAAATGTTGTAAGCCTACATGGTGTCTGTAAATTATATTATATAGTATAATATATATATAATATAATACACAGTACTATACAATACTCGTAGCTTGTAGTAGTTATAATATCTTGTACTATACCTACTATCAAATAAAATCCTTCAATTATTTTTACTAGCTATTATTTTAATAGATTTAAAATGTAATTGTATAGCTTTAAAATTGATAAGTAATATTAAATACTGTTTGTTCAGTATGGATACATCATATTATTAATAATATAAATGTGGTTATGATGAAGGTGTATGTATGTATATGTCCCAGAAATATGAAGAAAAAAAATCAACTTTCAAATTGAAGAATTCTCAATATTATCGTATATCTACATGATCTGAAAGAAATGGTTTATTATAATATAGATATTATTATATTATATCACCATTCAATATTTTCAACTAAATCATTACATCCAAAAACAAGGATTTTACTCGATTTACTTTTATATTTTTGTTTCACACATTTTAGTAAAAAAAACAAAAAAAAAATACCTCTCCAAAACATCATAATATCTGCTGTCGTATAATATATTATAGAGAATAATATTTTGTCTCAAAAATTTTAAAATTTTTAAAAATTAAATTAGGCAATTAATAAAGTTAATATTAAAATGAAAAAAATAATGTTTTTGTGAAACTGAATAATGAATATACAAAATATTATATTGAATAATACTTTTTTTGTTCTCAAATTGTTGAAAAAAAATTTTATGAAAACTATATAAATTATACAAAGACATGTTTTTATCGGAATGATATCTGTTTCAGAGATAATATGTGTAATGTGTATACTGTAGATATTTGTGGACTGCATAGTTAAGTTATACGCAATCGATAATTATAAATGTACTCACCTCACTTTATAAAAAAAGAAACCAGACTATTATATTGATAACACTATAGGATAATTTTCGTACAAAATCGTTGAAGTGAAGTATCGTGATTTTACACTGAAAACTTTCACGCATCGAACGAATTTATAATAATATACATGTCCTAAATTTAATATATATTATTAGGTATAATAATATATAAACGCATTTATGAATTTCTACTCTTACAAATTTTATCATTGATCAACGTCACTACTCACTACTAATTAAGAATATAGAATATAATATAGTTTATTATGTAGCTATACAATTGTATGACGTAGTTTTACCTATGTTGTACACAGTATACCCAGTACCCTATTTATACGTAGGAAGAATATTAAATATTCTTAATTTGTAATTAAATTTAAATCGCGTTAAATGCATAAACCACGATCACGATTGGTAATTTAATTTTTATTCCAGGTTATAATTATTGGTTTAAAATTACACCAAAGCCATTTTTCAACATGTTTTTCCGTCGTTTTCTACAGTTATGGACCGACATTGCTGTGGTGTTTCATTCCCTATCGGCCTATCACATATTATACATAGGTACACTCACAAGTCACAATGTATATTATTATACGAATGCCAAGGTTCCCAGAAGATTATCCGAATAATATGATGTTATTTGTGCCGATGAAAGGAATCGTCAACACAACAAAATCAACCTTCACTTTAACAGTTGTGAGTTGTTTTCCTTCGATCTCTATACATGCGTAAATGCGTAACATCTCATTCGCATAAATTGATATAGAATAATACAAGTCCATATGTTCAAATTTTATCAGTGAACATCGTCGGATTGCATAAAAATATATTTTTTATTAATTGTTTTTATTTTTTGTTATTAATGCCTATATTAAGGTTACCAAATGACATGTTTTATATGTCACACTAATATCGTAGAATCGGGATGTTCATGGAATTGCTTACATAAAATCGTGAAATGCGTACCTATTTAGAATTATGTATAATAAACATTTTTAACACGATTTTGTTTTTACATTCTTATTGAAAATCGGTAGCTGATGTTTTTTCTAACTTTATTAAGGTAATATTAAGTGGTGATCGTCGATTGGTATTGTTTAACATCCAAGCCATTATACAAATAATAATTTATTTAAAACTCTTTTTCGATTATCTTCAAAAAAACAAGCCGTAATGAACAAGCATGCCAAAAATTATTTTGACATTTCGTAACATTTTTTATGCATAGATTTTTTAGTTAGACTGTTAGAGTGTATCTTTTATTTGAAGTATAAAATTACGGGCATTGAAAATAAATCACCAATGTAGTTTTATGTAATTAAGAAATATCATTTATAGTTTAAACGTTTTAGAGATAATTTTTAATATTCTGTGTCGTATTTTAAACGTACGAAAAACCTACGGATAATTTTGGAAGAATATTGAAGACATTTTAGCAAGTTTGGGTTTGTTTTTTTCGAATTTAGCTTACTAGTAAACACAGTTTTCAAATAAATGTTGGTATAATATACCTGGTACCTATATATAATAATAATTCACAATTAATATTGTATATCAAGACATCAAGGCTTTTGTTTTTATGACCGTTTTCAAGTTCGAATTACGGTGCAATTTATTAAAACTGTTTGACTATAATTTTTAGGTTTTTTTAAATATAGTTTTTAGTTTAGCATGTAAAGACTCGATAATAAAATAATAAATATAGGTACAAGGCTACTAATATAGTCATATCATATTCATTAATCATTATTCTTTACTATATGTTTGGTATTATATTCAATACATTGTTAAAATCATAACCCGTACAATTTTTTTGTGAGTATTATTAGTAAGTTTTAAGAACGTTTATGCCATCGTATAGGTATCTAATAAATGTTCATAGTAAATTTAGTTTTATTCATAATCATTATTCATAAAATATTGTCAAAAAAATTAAAATTACAGCCACATGTAGTATACTTATTCTACGATTCTGAATATTATATTATGAGAAGAAATTGCATGATGTGAAGTTTGCTTAGGAGATTTAAATATATACCTATAGTGAAATTAAAAAATTTAGTTTAAATATTAAACACATAATATTATATTAACATATATTAGCATTAAATCAAGTTTTTCACTTTATTAGTTATTTCATATATAATTGATGACGTTCATTATTTTGATATTTTTTTTATACATTTATTAACTTGTTATTATTGTAGTAGTTTTAGGGAATATATCAAAGTTATCTAAGGTTATTAGATAGTCAACATCCTCAATATGTATAATAAAAATAATCATATATTATATTTTAATCATATCAATGAAATTGTATTAGATTATATTGTAATATTTTATAATAATTAATAATATTAGGTATGGTGTGGACCGTTATTGAATACTGCAATATATATAGTGGCGTGTTATTCAAGTATCAAAAGTAAAAACACTGGAATAACGTGTATAATTTCAATAACGACGACGTAAATGTATTTAAAATTAGTTATATTTTGTACCTTATGCTATAAAAACAATAATGAACTCATCTTTTATAATATTGGGTAATTGCATGCAATATAATTTATTTTTAATGTATATCTGCAGCATAGGTATAAGAAAACATGTGGGGGAAACATGAAGGTGCAGTGTGCACCCATCCGGCCATCCTCATCATCATCGTAAATTCGTACGACATAGGTGATAGAGGCGTGTTGTAACCGTTTATTTAATAACATTGACTTAAAATTTGTTTTGATATAGGTACCTAATTGTACAATTCTAACATATTAAATTCGTGGTTACTGTTAATATTTGAATATTTGATCACATTGTTTTACCCTAAAAAAGGAAAATATATTACTCATTCATGTTCCTTTTCAGTATAATGATCTGTATATTATAATATAGAAGTGATCATAAATGCAGACTATGCAGAGTATAACACGCAGACTACAAAGTAATGAGTTTGATCGATATAGAAATCGTCACGCATGATTATTGATTTTACATAGTGTACTAGAAAATTGTAAATATAGGTACATATATTTTATGTATATAAATATATTGTACCTAGTATCTATCTTATATATACATTATATAGTTTTATACACATTATACCTATGTCCTATGTATTGTACTATACACTATATAGCATTACAGCGTATGGTTATAAAAACAATATAAGCCCGATATTGATATATGTACCTACTGCATTCGGGTTAAACCGTGCATTTTTTTATGTTATTCTCCGTTTTGACGTATTTTTGTTTCGAAAGTTTCTTTTAGTAGCATCCGATGCGAAATCGCCGGTGAAGTCAAGAAATATATTCGTTTCACCAGATCGTAATTAATAATTATTAAGGATTCAGTTCGGTGTCCTGCAGATCGTATTGGTTTATAATTTATATTTTATATATAAAAACTATACGACTATACGACTATATACTTAAATACAAGTATAATAATATGTAATATGTATATGTTATATTTATAACATATACATGTATATGATATAATATGATATAATATATATTATATACTTGTGATTAATGATCATATCACAAACGAACCATAACATATGTAATATATACTTGGTTGCACGTGCAATGAAAAATTATCTTTGACCGTGTTACGTACATGAATAATTTTAAATAATAGCAATATATTATGTAGAAATATTGTTGCACATGGCGAGAATAATCTTTTAACGCATATTGATCACTGAAATATCAATAAACATATTATTATTTGTGGAATCGGTTACGTGAGAGTGAACTCAAAATTCAGATGTCGCGTTGTAAATAGATACTATATACACTTTAGAGTAATAGTACCTATTTTAATTCAAATTTTTTAGACGATAATCTATTATTCTTGTTTAAATAATTATACTCAGACATATGCGACTTACTTATGCCGATAGTATATAGTATATCAGTAAAACGTAACCAACACCCATCACTATATTAATACATATATATATATATATATATATATATTATACGTAGATAGGGCTAAGCCCCCCAAATATTTCCTACATTTTGTTTTAGGCTTATTCAATTTTATCAAAGTAGGGCTTTAGCCCCCTCCCTCCAATCCCAAATTCTATTTGCACATTGCACCTATGGATTGGGTACGCTATACAAATAATATATTTTCCATTACTATATTATGTACCATTAAGACTTAAATTTTAAATATGTAAAGTAATGGAAATTTATATAGTTACTCACCAAGAACCCGTAATGCTTGAGTATGTCCATTTTGCACATTGGGCAAGTTCGGTGCTCTAACAGCCAAGGATCTACACAGCTTTTGTGGAATTCATGTCGGCACGGCAGTATCCGTACCACCTCGGACGGTCTGTATGGTTCAATACACACTGCACAACAGTCACCATCACCAACGATCTCCTATAAAACGATGAATAATTTAATAATATAATTTGTTACGATGGCGGGGAAACGCTATTTTATCAGTTACGTATTTCGTCATTGAATGGCTGCTTACGCTTTGATTAATTGAATACTATTTTTCAAATACACGTAGAAAAAAAGGGTTTATAAAATGTTCGACGATGCATCGATGCCCCACGTCGACTGTGGAGTATTGGTAGAATACATTTTTCGAAACTATCTTTTATGAGTCTTAAAATATTTTATCAATTTAGGAGTTTTTATGAATATATCATTTAACTATTGTACAACACAATCGTTAAAAATATAATTTAACGTCTTACCTGCAGTTAACATGATATGATATAATTATGCTGAGGTTTAAGAATAATATACAGGTACTTTTACGGTGAGCCTGAAATGGATGAATCTACAAAATATATTGTATATACGTTTAGGATAACATTTCCCAAGTTGTTTATTGTCTAAGTATACGTAAATATTAGTTTTATTGGCAAAATATTGAAATTATTTACATAATTCGTTCCAGAAATCTAATAGTTAAATAAATATATGAGCTAATATGATCTTAGCCAACCGTAAATAGTAAGTAGCCGTAAATAGTTTACGTGATTTTACGTAACTTTACCTTGTCATCCATTTTGATGTGCTTGGTAGGTATCTTTGACAACGCTTTTTTGGCCGCATTACATAATCGTCTCTAGAAATTAAAACACAAACATAGGTAGGTACATTATTATTAGTGGATGCTACCTACTATATAGCTCAGAAAAACGCTTGTAAAACATATTGAATATTTTAATAAATTCTATTGATATAAGTTATTATTTCTGGTTTTGGTTTAGCATCGTACCTAACGTAAAATGCAAGTTGACGATAATAAATAGTTCAGATCGAATGTTCATTGAATAAAAATGATTGTTGTTGTAATTTAATCAACAATAAAATGTATCAACTTTAAAATGTTGTGGTACCTATAGTTGTTTTACGGTGGACCTGTATTCTCAGATGTATCTTCTGTAGTCTGTACAACACATTCATAATATATACATAGATACATTGGTCAATCGGGTATAATACGCATTTAATGTACTTCCACTTTCACTTCCTCATTTCTCGGTACATAGGTTCGTTCATCTTCGTAGATACCTACTCGACATAATTTTTTTTACTCTCATACAATATAATACACACATGACACATCATTATAATATTACGCATACGTTTATATTTGAGCCTACCAGTACATGACCAGTACATGTCATATTGCACAATGTTTGTTTTGGTTTGAAAAAAATTTTCTCCTAAACGAATAACACTTATTGTTCATTGAATAATTATTTAATTTGACTTTTTAGGTTCTAATAGGTATATTAGTTTCAGTATGACAGGTCTTCAATAATTTAAATTTTTTTTTTCTCCGGGCAATAATTGTAAGGGAAAACAGTCCTCTATCAGTTTGAATTTTCAAGTCAAGTGACCTTATTATTTAATAAGTCCTTACATATCTATGGATTGGAAATCGTGTATAATTGTTTTTATTCGCGCGGTTGTCCCTCTAAGCGTAAGGAAAAGATACAAAGTGTAAAAGAAATCAAGAAAGGTTCAAGCAACTATATAGCAAGTGTTTTTACTTTATTCAGAATAGATCAAATTCGATGATTTGTCATAGATTCAATAATTATAAATATACCAAAACACAAAATATATATCATTCCTGTTTCAGTGAGCCCATTAAATTCAAATAGTTGGTTAAGTTATAGGGTTATAACTTATAAAACATTTAAATATCATATATTTTATTTTAGTGATGTAACTTACTGACAGTTGGTCTTTAGCGTGTATATACCGGAACCTTTGTATGTAGTAGAATACAAGCCATGCCAAAGATATGACCATAAGCACTATGAACGATATGCTTACAAACAATACGGAAGTTCTGAAAAATAAATTCAGATTGTGTTATTTACTAACAATGAATAGGTAATACATTTTATTTGCTTCTCAATATTCACGAATAATTAATAAACGTAATAACTTACGAAGTCATGATAATATAATTTTAAATCTGAAGAGTTTTATTTAAATCAAGCCATACAATTTAAAATATCATTTAAAATGTTTTAATAACTAGACCGTGTAAATGAGTGACATTACCTAACTTATTATGGTAAAATAACGGTGTGTGGATTAAAAACCGATTGTTATTAGTAAATTAATTGTTATACATAAGTATATTTTACTTAAAAATTTTAAAAGCTATAAAAATACTTTAATATACAAAAATGATTGTTTGAATAGTTTATACCTACCAATTAATAAACGCATAATATTGTTATCACTTTGAAATTTTAAATTATTTGATAAATATAAGGTAGGTATAAGTTTGTATAGTTTTAAAATTATTTCTTGTATTAAAAATTTAAATAAGTTTTATAATAACAATTAACAAGGGAATTTTATTTTAATTTATCAAATTATTACAAAAATTAAAATGTCTATACAGTATTTTAAGAATAGTGTATTCTTATTTTTGCGTATTAATGTAAAATGTATGCTTACATTTCATTTGAAGTTGTTATAAATGGTATAGATACATTTAACATTATTTGAATTTAAAATTATAAAGTTAAAGGGAAAAATCATGTTTACCAAAAAAATAATTACATTTTGAAACTTGTGTAATATGAATCATATTATCCATTATAAATTTAAAGAACAATTTAATTAAAGTTTAAAGATATTATACAGAATTAAAATAATTATGACTTTGTATGAAAATTTAAAAACTAGGAGAAATTAATTGGCAACACGAGGAAACAAATATTTTTAATAAGTGAAGAAAATAGATGATTCAATATTGTTAAACTAATTTTTCATCATATAGTATACATATAAAATATACTTATAGCCTATAGGATTGGAAATTTAATTTTAATACATTTATGGGTTGACAAAGTTACACAATTTTGAATTTCATTGAAACGTTATAAAGGGTATGTTCCTATAATATGTATATTATATGTAATGTAATATGTAATATACTAATGTATTACAAGGCAACAATTTTTCTTAATAAAAAAAAAATGTTTAGTAGGTATAGTAGGTATGTACCTCCTAATCTTCTTATTAAGTTTTGAATAAATACAAATGTAAGGCTTTGATTTCAAAAAAGTGTATGCTATATATTATGATCAAATCCATGATATAGAATCTTCGAACATTAAATTATACTAATATATTGAAATTTTCTTATACGATATTTTGAATTAGATATCACTAAAATATATATATAATCGTTTTTTTATCACAGTCGTTGCAAATTCGAGTCGAACTAGTCGAAGTACCTTTTAGTGAATAACCATTGGTACTAGGAACTATAATATGTTATATCTCGGTACCGTACGGCGTTCAATGACAAATTACAAGCCCATTATAACCCATTTATTAATTTGACCAAGTATCATAGCTTAATATTGTTAGGGACATAATACATATATAGCTACATTGATCGATGCTACTCGCATAGTTGAAAATGTATTAATGTTGCATCAGGAATTATCGGTACTCACCGATAAAAATATGTCTAAAACTTGGAATTGTCATGAAATTATTAAGATAACCATCGAGGAATATTGATACCAAAGTGTTTTAAGTTACAAAAAACCGTTTATTTGAATTCTAAAAATCAATATTGATTTTTTTATTATTCTTTATTTTGTTAATTGAGTTCACTTTTCGGAGAATTCAAGTCCAGAAGCTGGTATGAGGATACTTCGAATTTATTTAAATAATAATAATATTATGTTTTAATTATTACTTCAATATTGACAACATTTACCATTTAAACTGTAACAGCCTGTTAGGGTTCATTTATTAACGTCTACAGTAATACAAATAATTATCAAAAAGGTAACGTGTAACAACCTTGTTGCCTGCAATATTTGAATACTTCTGTTAAAATATTAGTTAAATGGGATGATTGAATAATTTTAATACATCCGAGTATAAAGGAGCTTAAAAAATATTAAACAGACTTGGATAAGAAATAAAGATAATTAAATAAAATCATAAAAATTAGAAACAAGTTATTTATATCTTATATTACTTTATTGATTTGACATTGAGTTCGATGTTTGCACTTTTATAAGGTTATTCAAATTGGTATGACATGTTTGATCAAAATTTGTGTGTCCTACTTTAGGTAGTCTATTTTATTTTATAAATGTTTGTATATCACATTTAACGAGTCAAGCATAATTAATTTTAAACTGCCTTATATAATTAAGCGTGGATGATAATATTTAGTATCGTTATAGTATATCTTTCATAACAAATAGTAAACTGACAATAATACTACCGATATCGTAAAAAGTATTATAGTTTAAAACTTGAACAATAAATCTTAAATATTTGAAGGTTGTGTCAAACTATTGAACTTTTTAATTTAAATAGGTACCTCTGAGGCACATTGACTTTTATTCTGGAAGTATTTTTAACCTAACCAATAACCATGTATTAATTTTGTAATTAAATTAATTACATATAAAAATATTTTTTAAACAATAATTATTAAATATTACATTTGTACTAGAAACCGTGATAGGTTTGTCATTTATAATGTTATAATATTGAATTATGTAACTTGTTGGATCAAAGACTTATCATTATAAACTATACTTAACAGTTAACCTACACACTCAAATAATTCCAGTAAGTACCTTATAATTAATACATAAAAAAAAAAAAATCTTTATCATAAAAATTAAAAATACAATATTAAATATTTGAAACACTTTTTAAATTGATGATTCAGCATTATATATAAAATATAAATACACATTTTTATAACCCAAGTGTTTTGATAATATTTTCAATCTGCAACTTTTGCAATTTAACATTTAACATAATTTCATAACACAAAGTGGTTTTGACATTTAAATATTTGTAAACTCGTCATTGGAAAACTTGATTAATAGTATAGGCTGCAACTATACCGTAAACTCAATTAGTTTTGCATTATATGTTGGTATATAAATTATAGCATAAGTATCTATATTGTATACTTTTTTTATTAATAATTAATTATTAAATTAATGTTAATAGTTAAATGTTAATAAATAAAATATATTTTATTATATTTTTAACCTGAATTTGAATAGTTAAAACCAAAACTATTTATCTAGATATTATAGGTATATAATATATTGCTATGTTTATCTATACATTTTAAATTGTTAGCAGTTGATATTAGATTTATACTTCAGTAATTTAACACTGTGGAACTTAATTAAATTCATATTAATTTAAATGAATGAACAATGGGTTACGTTTATACATATTATTTTAAAACAGTTTTTAAAATGTTCATGATTAAAGTTCGAGTATTTAAACCGATTAGCTATTATAGAGGTGACGGTGTTTGACATTGTCTCTCTAATACTAAACTATAATTGCAATGACCACGCATTACTATCGAAGTCCAATGACCAATAATAATTAATATGTCAAAATAGAAACCTTTAGATTACAATGACAAAGAAACGTGTTCTGAGCTTGGTCAATGGTCATGTACGGTAAGATATTATATTATATGAATTGGACCACAGTCAGAATAGTCCGTACTTATATGTTTTTAAATTTCCAAGTAGACTAATCAAAAAACATTTTTATACTATTCTAAGATGACGCTGTTATTAAACTTTTGTTTTTAATTATTACATAGTTAATTGTATAATAATGTTATAATAAATCCTTAAACTATCCAAATATGCAATATTGCTATATTATCACTTTCACGGTAGGTTAATTTGTAAGTGTACCGTAATTATTAGTAAGGACCATCGATGTTGTTGTCATCATTGTTTGACATTAATATTGGACGTTCAAGCAAAACTGGAAATTAATGTATCTGAACAGATATTATAAAAATATTAACTCATAAAATTATTTTAAATGATATTCTAAAACCAGTTTAACACGATGAACGGGAGACCATGTGATAACGTAAATAATAATATTAGAAGAAAAGTTACCTATCGCAATATAATAACGCAATTTTATTTTTGAATACCATACAGTCATTAACAACTCAAAATTAACGACTGTCTTATATGAATTAATTTACATAATAACAACACATATTTTTCTTTCAAAATTCTGTTTATCATTAAACTTTGATAACTTTTCAAATTTTGATTTTTTAACTATACCTAACCGACATTTATAAAAAATTTAAATATTACCCATGATTTGTTCTCTCAATCAGTAGATACCTATCGTAGATTACAGTTAAATTTAGGCTCAAAACCCATCGGTCATGTTAATTTCATAAGTTTTTGTAAAGTTGTTCTTTTTATAAAGCTTAATTTTTAATTGTTTGCTATAGATAAAGGTAGACATAATTTACATATACGTGCCAAAATCAAATATTTTTCATTGGATGGTCACCAAAATTTGTCAAAAACAACAAACAACGGCAAACAGTTAAACAATTGTACAATTAAAATTCGAAGCAATATCTAGTGTCCATTGTTTTTGGTATATATATGGGAATTAAATAATTAATATAACAATACAATAAAAAAAGTTAAATGATAATAATATAATAATATAACATCTTAACACAAAAATGACACGTAGATTGTTATTATTTAAAAATAAAACCACGTTTTATTGGTTTTGAATAAATATTATAAGATAGAATTGTACACTAAAGTCTGACAAATAAGAAAAATAAAAACAGTTATATTTTAAAAACGCATATCAAAATGTACATAATATAATATAACAAATTCGTGCCATTAATTCATGAGCTAAAAATTGCATTCCAAATGTTTTTGCCAAAAACTGTTTTGTAGATCTAAGTTTGTTTTGTAGATCTTAAGTTCCTATCTTTAAAAGTTTAAACAAATATGTTTCATTATTAACGAGATACAA